CAGCCAGCCATGCTGGCTGGGGGATTCTGGGGGTTGAAGTCCACTCATCTTAAAGTGGCCAAGTTTGGACAACACTGGCTTAATAGCTCTCATAGGCAGGACGTTCCTTCTCAGTTCAAGTTGGAATCTCTCACTGTAAAGCTTCTATGTTACAGTTTACATTTTACAGTAAAAGTCTTTTTGATGATGGAAGCATAGAAATATGTAAAATAAATAAATAAAATGTTCCTGAAATTCCTACTGACACTGGCCAGGCTATCCACTTTCAGGAGTAATGTACAGCAGCAACTTCATTTAATCTTGACAAGAATGAATGCAGCTGTAAGAAATAAGCATGGTATCTGTGATGCTTTTGCTATTAAAGAAATTTAGTTCCTGTTTCTGACAGACCTGCCCCCGATATCTGACATTCAATTACATGATGAAAGATTTGAAAGGTTTAAAATATTTATAAACTGAGTTGTTTTCATTGTACTTGAATCAGGAATAACTTATTGCTATTAATGGGGTGTCATGACTGCAGGCAAAAGGAACACTTAGAGAAACTGACTTGACAAAGTTTCTTCCATTGTCGTGTGTTCTTGCAGATTTGCAAGCCCACCAAAATCTCACATTTAGCTTTCTTTAAATTAATTCAATAAAGCTATGGATATCTATATCTAACAAGCCAACGAAGTGAAATTAGATCTAACCTTTAACCCAGAGAAACCAGGGGTTATCAAATTTAAAACAGGCCCCTTCCAGACATGCAGTACTATGTAATTTTACAGAAACAACAGTGTCTTATGCTAGTTTAAAGAATAAGAAATTTACTGGGGTATATTGTTTTCAGGGATTTACACCATCTTCTAATCCAGATGCATCTGTAGGAGGTCAAAGGGTGATAAATGATGACGCCATTGCACCACGGAGATGCAAGGTTTGCTTGTTTTGTACAAACATCATGATGGTGTATGCACACATGAAAGGGGCGGAGCCTGCATCAGGTGACCTGAGGCTGCTGACAAAAGCATCAGATCCTGCAGATACCTCTCTTTTAATCTAAAACTATTATTTATTTTTATTTTACAATTCTGTGAGAATCCATTCTCTGATGGATCTGTAAACAACAGTTTCTTTCTTGGGATACGTACACAGATCAAGACAGAAATACAGGTAGTCCCCAGTTTAAGAACAAGTTCTTATGCCAAGGTCTGTCCTTAAGTCTAATTTATATGTAAGCCAAAACAGTATTATTGTATAATACTGTATAAGTAGTATTGTGTAATGAACTCAAACCATCGTGTATTTAATTCGAATTTTGCTACAATAGGCTCCTTTCTTAACTATGGGTCATCCATAAATTGGGTGTTCTTAACCCGGGGACTACCTGTAAACTCTATTTAGGCTTAGCATGTTCAAACTGGGTAGACTAGGATCCTTTACAACAGTGAGGTTCACAGGAAGAAGGTCTCATTTGATTTTAGGAAATCATGTTCTCCTGTACAGCTCCCCCTTTCATATTGTTTAAGGGTGACCCTCATTTTCTGGGTAGAGTAGCTGAAAAGAAAACTTTCCTTCCATGAAAAGTTCATTTTAGGATCCAAGATCTATGTTTAATATTCTATCTGTAATTCTAGGGTAAAATACCAGACAGCTGTCACTAATTATACAAGTTAAAAGAGTCACAGTCACAAAATAGTCATCAGTATCACTGCATATAAAATGCCCTATTATCTCAATAGGAAAAGTTATACAAGAACTACAAAAGAGTGCTGCATTCTTGTTTAAACAGTGCTGTAAAGACAGGTGCACGAGAGAAGCTCAAGCACCAACTTTGAAAAGCATTAAGCTAACTACTTATTAGATAAAATTGAATACAATTACATATAAGACCAAACTTACTATAAACATTATTTTCTCTGTCTTGCATATAGCTAGCACTTTTCTCTACTAGTTCTTAGCATGAGAACACAAAGCTCTGTCACCTTTTAAAAATGTCAGTGTATTGTCTACTAACAAACTCAGGACTATTTTCAATTTCAATCGTAATTAAGTATGTACTTCAACTTTTGCATATGGTTTTGCAATTATATTTTACTTGAATTAATTTTTATATTAACTTTAAGACTGGACTTAATAATATCAACACATCTCTGCTAAGGCAGGTGCTAATAAAACAGATTGACTACAAACCAAATGCTCATTTTAAATTTATCTTTGAGGCCACACCTCTATTACATTTGAAATCAGTAAGAATTGTTAATGACACTTAAACAGAAGTTCTGAATAATTCAGCTATTTCATTGATAGAAATGCTGAACAGCAATACTGAGAAAGCAAAATTTTCCCCAAGCAAAATCCAAATTTGTTAGTAATGCCATTTAGAAAGTACCATTGCCAACACATGCAAGCGCTGAAAGATTAGAACAGCAGGAAGCGTAATTACGGTCAACACATAATTTAATATGAGAGAAAAGAGAAGAGAAGAGAAGAGAAGAGAAGAGAAGAGAAGAGAAGAGAAGAGAAGAGAAGAGAAGAGAAGAGAAGAGAAGAGAAGAGAAGAGAAGAGAAGAGGCTTTATAAAATGGCATATATACAAAACACGCTCAAATAATGTGTCTTTTCTTGCTAGAGGAAAAAAAACTTACCAGTTTCTATTTTTATACACACTGGGTTGGATACAGACTTCTACCTCTACAAACAAATGGAAACTTGAATCTAGCAAATAATCATGTTAGAAAAAGGGAACAGAGCAGCAATTTTCTCTTACTCTTTCTCTTTTGATGCCACTTCCTTCCTATGCCCTTACCCCAGTGTTGTCCAAACTTGGTCCCTTTAAGATGAGTGGACTTCAACTCCCAGAATTCCCTAGCCAGCCATTCTGGGAGTTGAAGTCCACTCATCTTAAAGGGGCCAAGTTTGGACAACACTGCCTTACCCAAAAGGGGCTGCAGAGGAAGGGAGAAAACTGCCACTCTTCTCCCTCTCCCAGTTTAGTAGAACTCAGAAAAGCAAATAATCTGATTCGATTAAAAAACGTGTCAAACATTAAAACAGGGACCTCCAAAAGTCACTGATGCCTAAATTACTCCCAAAACAAAGATCTAGCCTGCTGTCCAAGGTTTTGTACAAAATTAAAAAGAAAGCTTTAATGGAAGTACAGCAATAATACAAAAGAAAATATTGTGAATCTGTTTTAAACATTACTTTTTAATTTTATTTATTTGTACAATTCATCTAACTCCTTGAGACTAAACAGGCTCTAGGAGGCTTACAGAAATTAAGTGTTAAAAGGAAGATACAAATAAAAAATTAAACTAGGTGGAACATATTTAATATGTTCATAATGACAAAATGCTAAAATACTTAATAAGAAAATACTAAAATGAAAGTCTATCTTAACTTGTAATATGGCTTTATTCTGTGATGGGGTGAACAAGGATAAGAAGAAAACGCTCAGAGCAACTGCCTGCATAAACTCATCCCTCACCTTTCCGGTCTGGCTTGAGGTTCCTGTCCACCGGGGGAGGTTCACATTCTGCCGCAGGGACTGGCCTTCTAGGAGGAGTCTTTGGACTGGATCTAAATCCCATGTGTGCTGGTGGAGGCACTTGCATTCCAAATAGTGAAAAATCAAAAGTGCCAGGAGTCATTGGCACATAGTTCGTCATTTCTTGGATGGGTTCAGTAAAACTGCTAGAATGTTGGCGTGGAGGAGAATTGGGGTTCATCGGGACATAATTTTCATCCAGTTCTTCACTTGAAACGCTTCCAACAGTCAAAAGACTTTTATTTTTCTAGAAACAAGAGTTATGACAGCAGTAAATTAATCAGCATTCCCAAACAGACTTTTTTTCTATCTTCATTGACCTGAGGTACTATTCAAGTCATATGATATATTGTTACATATTTGTGCCTTTTCTATTTCTAGAGTTCAAGGAGCCCAACCATTCCTGCTTGGGTCAGAATTCTTCCATCTCATTTCAGATTTAAACATCCACCGTCTCCTCCACCTTCTCCTCCTATTATGTGCCTGCCACATTTCTGCACATTTTGCTTAGATGTTTTTTCCATTATAGCCAAGCTGTCTGTGCAAATATTTTTTCATAGGCTCTACTAGTGTTCCCTATTGTTCCCTATTAGTGAATATGCACACAACCAAATGCTCAGTGTGATAAATGCTGAAAATATTTATGGTACAGCAAGGCCTCAATGGACATTTACATCATCTTGATGCAAGGCCTGCAGATGTTGACATTAACATCTTTACTGATATAAGAGCAGCAACTTGCTCAAGCCCCTGTAGGCATCTCTACAGAGCCCTCCAACCAGTAAATGACCTCTTTGCCTTTAGGGACAACATTAGAGCTTGTAGAACCAGAAATTATTTAAGAGAGTTCTCATTCTTATCTTGTGACCTCATGTATTAAAAATATGGTTTCTCAATCCACTGTGGAGGAAATACCTATATTGTATCTGACCAAGCAAAACAATAGAGCCAATGATTGATGTTCAAAAGGATCAACATAAAGTTTCTTTCTTGACTTGGAAAGTAGCAGGCTGGTATTTCAGCTTTAGGAATATTTTTTTCTGGGAAAATCAAAATCATACTTACAAAGTGGTTATGGAAGCCTTCCAGTGAGCTTGATCTATCATTTGGAAATGTTCGTGGAACAAAATAGCAGTCTTGAGAACCAATGTCTAAAACAAGGGAGAAGAAAGCAAGTGTTGTTTTCCCCTTCTACACCCAATGGCATAAAATTGCACAATTAAGTGCTACTAGTCAGAATGGGAAATTTTCCTATATGGTCACTTTCTATGATAGCCTTCCTTAATTTGTTATTTTCAGATAAATTCACACAAACTCCACATAATTAGAAATAATGGGAGTTCTAGTACATATCTAGAAAACATCAGGCTGAAGACCTAGCCTAGGTCCCCACTTGTACCTAACCATAGCAACAAGCATACCCTTTTTTTATGCTGCACCTCCATAACATTACCTTCATCTCATTTCCAGCCCCTGGCTAAAACAAGGTTATGTCATCCTTAGTTGTACTGGTGTTAATACTTTTCCTCTTATTCCAACCCCATTCAAGATGGGCAAAAATTCTATGCCACTGTACTTTTCCGCCAACTTCAAGGATGGGTAATAGCATTATAACTCAGCAGCAGGAAACATTGCCATGTCTCTTTCGCAGTCTAAATATACAAGCAGAGTCAGTGCTCAGCCTTATAGATCAGTGTTTCTCAACCTTGGCAACTTTAAGATATGTGGAGTGCTAGCTGGGGAATTCTGGCAGTTGAAGTCCACATATCTTAAAGCTGCCAAGGTTAAGAAACACTATTACAGATGTAAGCGGTGAACAAAGAAATCAGACTTAAAGGGAAAGAGAGAAATATTCCCTCCCATCCTCCTTTCCATCCCATTTGTTCTGTGCCTCGCATTTTGAGTTCCACTTTGCATACAGCTTTGGCTGTTCTGCACATGCAGGCCTCTTCCTTAATCCCTTGCCATCCTCATGATTTCATCCAAGTATGGGCAAAATATTCATAAAGATTTCAAATTTTATGAAGTTGCAAGAGACAAACCTGAATATCTTAGCTGATTCTAGACATACTGTCCAAGCTCATGTGTCTTTACACAACCTCAGCCTTAGCCTTAGCCTGCCAGCAGAAGCTGATGGGAGTTGAAAGCTACAACATTCAGAAGCACTAGGCTGCATAATCCTGCTTTACAGGGACTAAAATGATTAAGGCATACTTGCATAGTAAGAGATAAACACTGCAATGGCATTTTTCAGATTAAAACTAGTTTGGATTTCCATTTTGCTTGATATCAATGAAATGATTGATTTGCATCACAAATAGCACCCAGGCTCAGAAAGATATGAAGGCATTTAGCCCAGGGCAGGTAGCATTGTTGCAGATAAGGCCTGCTTTATTTTTTAAGCTTTAATTTCCTTGGGGGCATGCGCAATATCTTGATGATGCAATGACGACATAAAAAAGGACAGTGTTGACATTTTTGCCTTTTTTTTAATAGGTTGAGAAATTAATTAAAATAAATGTATGAAGCCTAGCACAATTTTTACCTACCTATTACTGTATAGGGGGGAAAAAATCACAGTAATCATGCATACACATTTCTGTTTTGGTACTGAAATTTGGCAGTACAGTAGGGCCTTAGGCCACAGAAAAGGGAGTTTATGCGGGCTGTTCACTCCTGGCTTAGGTCAATCCTTTATGCAGGATATCCACTATTACTGTAACCCCAAGAAATGGCTCTCTCTTCTCCTTAATAATCTAAAATGAAAGACAGCGCAACAAGAAAAGCCAAATCTAAGGACATATACAATAGTCAAGATAACTCACTCAATCCAAGTAAACTCACTGATTTCAGCAAATTCAACTTCCCTTGACATCAATGCACTATACCCTCAAAGACCCATGATTCTGATTGTCTATCTTTTATTTCCTTTTATCAACACACACACACACATACATGAAATAATAATACAAGAGAGATCTTAATATTGAGTAATCAGCTTCAGACTGAAACTATTGTCACATCGCTACAGTTTTGATATAAAATGTAGCAGTCCTTTTTTTATGTTATACTCAATTTTGGATGCAAAGTTAAATAATTTTATGCTTGCAATATTGATATCTTAAAATGCTATTAATATGGGTAGAATTTTTACTTTTTCTAATTTTCAATACTTAAAGTTTTCTAAATAATATGCTTATAATTTACAATATTATTACATAAATATTATTGCACTGAAATCTGCACTGAAATAATACAATGTATCAAGGTTTATAACATCAAAATAAAAGGAATTTTTTTAAAAAACATGATTTCTGAACCAACCTCCTTCTCTTGGACCTTGAAATACCTCAGTGAAGTATAAATGAAATCTTTGATAAAATTTATCCAATACAAAAAACCACTAACCTTTGCGAAATATATTCATATCCATGGTGGAAATTGTGTTGCTGCGAGATGGGAGCAAGCCGCCTGTAGGGATGCAGTAACTGCTATCGGTATCTGAGGCAGTACGAGAGATACTACATGCCTCCACAGGAGAGCGATCTGAAGCATGATGGGGCTTTGGTGGGCGAGGTGGAGGGACATCTGGAATAGTCTCTAGCTTTGAACCTTGAGTCAATGAACTTTCTGGAAAAGTTCGTGGAATCTGGTAAGTACTTCCAGGTGTTGAGGGAATGTCATAACTAAGGGAGAAATGCCTCATCTGTGTATCAAGAGAAGATGTTGCAGATGGAGTGCTGAAAACATGTTGCTCTCCGTCTGTATCAGTTCCAGAAGGAGATGCCTTTGGTAAAACATCTTGAGAATAACTCCGTGGTAGATTATAAAGGCTGCCATCTACTGACACTGAAGCTGCTCTTGATGTGGGGGAATCATATACACTATGTTGCTGAAAATATCCATTCACTGCATGCTTGTTTAGTGATTGCACAGAACTTTTATGGGAAGGCACATTATCATTGCAATCTGTTTCAGAACAGGCAGTTTTTGCTGTATCAGCTGGCAACCTAAATGTTAAATGAAAACAAACAAAAAATAAATGCATTGACATATCTCTTCCAGAAACTAGTATTTCCCAAAATAAGAAACTAAAAATAAACAATCACAACTGTGTGTTATACTAGCTTTGATTTTACATGTATTACTAACATGCAGCGTAGCATCTGTAATGGAGTCTTACACTAGGACTTGAGGGGGAAAACTGCTTCTTGGTGAATCACTACAGCTACAGAGGTGGCATTTTTTGTTCTTAAATTCAAAAAGTAGTTGATTTCATGATATACTGTATTTCCACACTGCGTTGCTAACATCTCAGCTCTTATTCTGTCTCGTGAATTTCAGGCAGCAAAGCTTCTAAGAGATGTCTTCTCATAAACAGTCAAGGTTAATTATTTACAGGACTGATTAATAATAAAACAGTAATTGTACTAGCTCTTATTAATAATTGCTTTAAATATGCTGCTTTATTATTATTTTTAACTACTTTCTTTCTCTCAGTCCTTAAAAAAAGCACCCCACATAACTTGTTATGAATTCTTCAATTTTGGAATAATGTATTCTTTAGACTGACAGCCAGTTCAGTGTGGCGGTTAAGGTATCAGGCTAGAGACCACGAGTTCTAGTCCCACCGAGGCACCAAGCCAGCTTGGTGACCTTGGGCCAGTCACTTTCTTTCAGCCCAAGGAAGGAGGCAATGGCAAACCACTTCTGAAAAACCTTGCCAAGAAAACTGCAGGGACTTGTCCAGGCAGTCTCCAAGAATTGGACATGATTTGACAGATTAAAAAAAAAAAAAAAACCTTCAGACTAAGAAATATTGTTTTAAAGTTATTTAAAGGTCTAGTGGAAGTTACAGTTGAAAAAAAGTTTAAAACAATATTTGTTATGGAATAGAAATATCTCATGCATATGAGTCAGGGACTGGAATGCTGTTCAAAAGCAGCTGTGTATATCACTTTGCTCCTGAATATGGGTGGACTGGCCATCTGGAACACTGTTGTATACTACAGCATTCTTCCTTATGCCTATTATCATAGAATTATAGAGTTAGAAGTTGTCATTTAGATCAAATCAGTGCAGGAATCCAAATTAAACTATCCTTGACATACAGCTGTCTAACTTCCACTTAAAGACATCCAGTGAAGGCAAGCCCACCACCTCTCTGATTAATTCATTTCTGTACTACATTGTTTTAGTGTGAGGAATTTTCTAATGTGAAACTGGAACATGCCCTAAGTTAAGAGGATGGGTTTTAACTTTCTGCTTTTTCAGGTACTTGAAGAACATGATCATATTCCGCTGTTCCTCAGCTTTTCAAATGTAAATATTACTTAATAGGATTTACTTCCTATTGTCTTGATTATTCTAGGCATAATACTCATGATGTGATCTGTTCAATGCAGAGTAAAATGGGATTACTATTTCCCTTACAGATGCTTCCCATATCACACATATCACACAATAAAAATCCAGTGAGAAAAGAGGTAATCTTTCTTCACATGAGAAGAAGGGTGAAGTATAAAATCCTAAACTTTTAGCAGGTATGGATTAGAATGAAGTCTAGGTGTTGGGAAGAGGACTTTCTTAGGAAGGAGCAAAACTGTAAAGCAGGCACTGAATTTTTTCCATTACAAAAAATAAACTCTTACTTCAGTCTTTTCAAAATGATGCAATATATGCAATACAATACAACCATTTCTCCACTTCAAGCCACATCTCGTTGGTACATCTGGATACAACAAGTAGTAATTATTTGCACTGCTTATTAAAGTCCACAGCAAAATGCACAAGATGCACAAATACACACACAAGCTGATTTTTTTCCAAACAGGCGTTAGGTTTGTGGTTAAATTCTAAAGACAAATCCCAAACACTCACTGCAATGGAACTTTTTTACTTTCAAAATCCTCCAGCAGTAAATACTCCTCCCCTTCTTCTGAGATGAAAGAGCTGGTTTATGATTACATGATAAAAATTAAGAGATCAGTGATGGAAATGATTTTTGAACAGTAACCCTAACTCCTCTTGATAAAATATTTGATAAAAAGAGCAACTTTAAAGATAAAATATCATTGTATGTAGGTTGATTTTCGGGTTCTTTGAAAATAATATGTAAACAGCAGGTACTTAAGATGAATTACCTTACCCTTAACAAATCAGACTGTAGTCATAGTTCTTTAAAAATCATACAGGAGCCCATGGGGAAAATATATATATACTATTCATAAAATATTAAGCTTTCCATCAAGTTTGATGAACCTCAGTATTTTTGGAAGAAGAGAATGGAATAGGTAATGTAGGCCACAATAGGCAGTGAAAACTTTTTAAGCTATTTAAAAGCTCCCTATGATAACTCTTACTATAGCATTTTAATGAAATAAAAAAAGTTAAAGGTTTACCTTGCTGGTTCAGGCTTCTTACTCTGACAGTTGACTAGTAACAGATAGTCTTGTGGATCTTCTTGACTGGAGGCAGACTCCAATGGTGGGATGTTAATTAGCTGATATGGAGGAGGTAGGGATGGTTCTGCTTGTACAGATGGCAGGGAAGTACTGACAGCTAAGGGTAATTCGGCTGGTACCGGCAGAGAACTGCCAGGCGGCTTCACAGCATCTACAAGTACAGAAGCATGTAGCCATGTCACTCAATACTCTGTTTGTTCATTCATTTTATTTATTTATTTATTTATTTAAAAGATGTATATGGCCACCCATCTTATGGCACACAATCTAGACAACTAGCGACAATGATAAAATCACAAGCAATAAAAACAATATAACTAAAAATCAAGAAAAACCAGGCACCCAATCCATCATCTACATCCATTCATCTATGCAACCCCAAGCTCCAACCTTACTATCCCAACTCCTGGGGCAAAAGTTAGCTCTTTATGGCTTTCCGGAAGGTTAAGAGGGTGGGGGCCAGCCAGATCTTAAGGGGAAGGGTGTTCCACAGGGAAGGGCCTGCTGTGGGAAAGGCACACTTCCTAGATCCCACTAGATAGCAACGTTAAAGGGAGGAGATCTGAAGCATGTGCCCACTCTAGCTGATTTGATGGAATGGGCAGATACCCTAAGGGAGAAGCGATCCTGCAAATAACCTGGCCCTGTGCCACGTAAGGCTTTAAAGGTGATCACCAGCATCTTGAATTGCACCTGGAACCTTGGAAACTGGTAGTCAGTCCAGGTCGTGCAGCAATAGTGTAACCTGGGCAAACTGAGCACCGAATACTGTGCAAGCTGCTACGTTCTGGACCAATTCTGACTTCTGAATGGTCTTCCGTGTGCATGTAGAGCATAGTCCAACTGGGAAATAACCAAGATATGAGTAACCACGAGCAAGGCTTCCCAGTCCGGGAATGAGTGCAATTGGTGCACAAGGTGGATGTATGCAAAGGCCCCCTAGCCACGGCTGCCACCTACCAATTACATACCAGCTCTGTCTGGGGAAGTGCTATCCCACTGAGAGTCAAAGATAACATATCACCAGACCCAGGGGACCAAAACCCTAAAGCTACTCCATGTTGCTAGGGTTGAGCCACAGCCCGTTTCTTTCAAACCATACCCTCAGGGGGTCACTACTGAAACAGCATCTGCCTGGCTGATAATACCAAACCCCATGCCACCAGATGACCTCACCAGCTGTTTCATGTAGATGTTAAAAAGATGCGTTGAGAGACTCAAAACGTGAGGCACCCCACATTGTAGGGGCCCAGGGCTGGATCTCTCCCCCCCCACACACACACACGTAACACCAACAGATATCAGCCATGGAGGAAGGAGAAGAACCACTACAAGACAGTGCATCGTGCTGCCAATCCCCTCAACCAGTCCAGAAGGATACCAAGGATGGTATCAAAAGCCACCAAGAGATTCAGGATTTCACCTGAATCCTGATAAAAGAACTGTTAAAGCTATTAAATGCAATATATTCTAATAGCTTTATTTAATATTTTAAGTAGAATATTTCAATTCTATAATGTCAACTACTCTTAATATCTTCAAGCTACAGGGTGATGAAGCAGGCTGCAATTATTCTCTAATAAAAGAATGGCAACTGTTAGGTTCTCAACCTCTTAATCAAGGCAAGCTACCAAATTAGCTCTGTCTTCAGATATGGAGGCTCTGAACGAGATAATCCTTTCAGACTAAAGTAAGAAGAGCCCATGGCTTCCTTCTCAACTGACTTTATAGAATAGAGGAAGACACTCTACAGCAGTGTTTGTCAACCCCGGCAACTTTAAGATGTGTGGACTTCAACTCCCAGAATTCCCCAGCCAGCATGCTGGCTGGGGGCAACCTTGGCAATGGTAAGATGGGTGGACTTCAATTCCCAGAATTCCCCAGCCAGCATGCTGGCTGGGGGCAACCTTGGCAATGGTAAGATGGGTGGACTTCAATTCCCAGAATTCCCCAGCCAGCATGCTGGCTGGGGAATTCTGGGAATTGAAGTCCACCCATCTTACCATTGCCAAGGTTGAGAAACGGTCACGTTCTACAGTGCACCATGGTTGAGAAATTTCTATGCTCTACAGTGTAGAAGAGAATGATGAATTGTTTGCAAACCCAGTTAATAATCTTACAATAACACTTACATTACAGGAACAAGTAAACCTCTGACTCTGAGGTGCTTTAAGTAACTGTTTTATGTTCTTTTATTTACTTTTGTGTGCTTTTATGCTATTGTAGCTTGATGGTTCTGTTACAGACTGAATAACATTTATAATAATAATAATAATAATAATAATAATAATAATAATAATAA